CCAGTCAAGTCACTGAAGCCCTATGAGCCTCACCTGCTTCATCCATAAAATGCAGATGATAACCAAACCTGCCTCAAAGGTGGCTGTGGGGCTTCAGGAGACCAGCGCAGGAGGCAGTGGCTGGCAGAGAACAAGAGCTCCAAAAAGCCAAGCTGCTGTCAACCTTCCGCATTGCATGTAAGACCTTGAAGCCAGGAGCCATGATGTCTTCCTGGGCACTGAGCCTGTTGCCTTGGACCATGCTGGGCAAACACAGACGGGTCATTAACCTGTATGTGGGACAGTGACAGGATGCTGGGTCTTCAGGGCAGGAGGGGTGTTCCCCAGCTCTGGGACCCCAGCCAAGCTCCCCAGTGCCCAATAGCCACAGAACAACTTTCTCAGGGTGTAGCACCAGGCTCCCACATGCAAGCACCATGGACTCTGAACCTCAGAGAGGACTCAACAGTGACCCCTGCGTCCAGCCCTGCCCCACGCTTTCTCTGCCACTGCCCACAGTGTCAAATCTCAGTCCCCATGGAGTAACCCCCACTCCAAGCCTCGGAGACAGCAAGCTGGGGCAGCCAGAGGCTGGACTGGGAGGTGGGATGTCTGGGTTTCAGTTCCATCTCTGGGCAACGCACTCAGCACATCCTTCCTCCTCTCTGGACCTCAGTTTGTGTGCGTGTGTGCTCAGTTGCTCAGTCATGCCTGACTCTTTGCTACCCTGCCAGGCTTCTCTGTCCATGGGATTTTTCAGGTCAGAATACTGCAGTGAGTTGCCATTTCCTCCTCCAGGGGATCTTTCCAACCCAGGGATCGAACCCACATCTCCCGTATCTCCTGCGTTGGCAGGCAAATTCTTTATCACTGAGCCATCTGGGAAGACCTTGAGCCTCAGTTTACCTATCTGAAATTAGGGATGGGGCAGCCTGATGCCTAGGACCCTTCCAATTCTAACAGTGTCTTCTGCATACTTACACTTACTGATTGATTGATTTCACAAGTGTTTATTGAGCGCCTACTGCATACCAGGCCCTGTGCTGAGCCTCAAGCTGTTCTCTCTGCTAAAAGACCCCTCCCCATCCTTGGCCTCCCAGTCTCAGCTTCCCGCAGGAAGCCTTCTCCAGGACAGCTCTGGGGACCCTCCTGTGCCCTCCTGCAGCCTCTTCCTTCCTATCATAGACTTACCGCTCTGCATCATCTGGTCTGTTTATCTCCCCTGCTTCCCTCTGAGTTGTGGTCTCCTGAGGGCAGGATCACAACTTGTTCCCTCTAATCCATTTGCAGGGATTCCAGAGTAAGGCTCTAGAAACATCTCTCTGACCAGTGAACAAAGGATTGAATAGGTCAATTCCAAATCCTCCTTCTCCCAACACAGACCTTCAATTAACCTTTTTGCCTCTGCATCCTCTTCCTGAAATTGGTCCCTGAGAACCCACCAGGCCAGTCCCAAAGCTGACTAGGAACTTCCTGGCATGTCTTCCCCTCTGAGCCCAGTGACCAAAGGTGTCCTCAGGCCTAAGTGGCATTTCAAGATGTTCTCAGCTCCAGTGACACTCCCTGGGGTTTGACAGGAGCCCAAGTCCCGATTGGTTTTGTGACCTGCTCTTCACTGTCCCAGCATTCTCTCAGTAAATATTTAGGCATGAATTAACTTCCTCCAGAGAGGAGTGACTCAAGGCCAGATGTAATCCTCCAGCTTTAGGGGGAAAGGTGAGTGCCCCAACCTTTCTCAGGCACCCAGACCAATAAGGCCAGTTCTTCATCCCAAGAAGCCTTGTCTCACTTGGACCTGCCCTCCTGCACACATGCGCCCGCGGATATTCATACACACATGTATACATACACATACTCGATGCCCTGGACAGTCCGTAGTTCCCTGCTCTGAGCCATTGGCTATCGGAACAGAAGCCTTGTGTGAGACCCACCCATTCAGTAAATATCTGTGAATTCATACTGTGTACCCTCCCGTTTTCACTGTTCCCAGGGGCACCAAATAGCTCAGCTGTTGTGTTACCTCCTTCAGCAACTGTGTCCTTACAACAGCTGCAGCAACTCCCCCTCTCCAGGCCACCCCAAAAAAGATCAAGGGTTTTTATTAAGCTAGACAACTGCTTAGCCCTCTCCACTAGCCCACCTCTCCATTCCCGAGAAGGAGATGAGACCAAGTGAACATGGGCCCCAGAAAGGAGGACCCAAAGAATGGGGCCACACAGATGGGACTGACCACTCCTCAGCTGGCCCCAGGGAGCAGAAGAGCCTTAGCAGAGCTCAGACTTGAGGCAGGGGCTGAAGGGGAGGCTGGTTCCCCTGCCCTCAACCTGTGGCTAGGGAATCCATTTCCCTTCCTACCCTGGTGTCCCATCTAGGCCCCCAGAGTGAGGAGGTGCTGCTCTGAGAACGGCTGTCAGTGATGAGCTGAGCTGTGAGAGGGATTTTCTTTGTGGATCCCACAGGCCCTGGTTTCAGAGCAGTTGGCAGGAAAGTGGTGGGATGTTGACCAATCAAGGTTACGTTCATCATGAGCTGAGCCCTGAGAACTGGACTCAGATTCACCCACGGCAGAAGCAAGTGGCTGATTTCAAAGAACCTGAAGCAAGTTCTACTGCTGGAAACAGACCTGGGTTCAAATCCTGCCTTCACCCCTTCTTGACTGCGAGACCTTGAGCAAGACACAAACGCTCAAAATCTTAGCTTGCCCCAATAAATTCTGGGCAAAGACAGAATGAAGGTCCCAAATGAGCATTAATAACACATTCTTAGACTCTCGCAACGTGCCAGACACTGTCCATCCCAGACTTGACTATAGAAACAGAACCTCCCACACCTCTCCACACGGTAATGACATCTCAAAGGTGGACTTCAAAAATAAATGAATGAGGGATCCCCCTGGCAGTCCAGAGGTTAAGACTCCGAGCTTTCAATGCAGGGGGCGCAGGTTCGATTCCCTGGTCAGGGACTGAGATCCCACATACCTTGCACTATGATCAAAACAAAATAAATAGAAGAATGAAGTCTTTGTGTGTCTTTAAGATAGGCCCTAGGGAGGTAAGAAGCAGTATATTTTTATTTTTACAAATACTATCACATGAACAAGTTGCATTCTGTGTGTCCCTGTCAGCAGATCACCAATACAATGGAAGTAAGACACCTTTTCTCACAGTTCCCATAAAGTGTCAATCCTGGCTTCTCTGGGTGGGGGCAGAAGAGGTTCTTCCGATCACAGGGGCTCAGACCAGTCTGGGGTTGTGCACATGGCATGCAAACGCCAGAGCACTGGACCTGGAGCTGTGGGACCTTGGGCAAGTCCCTTCTGCTGTCAGCGCCCCAAGTTTCATCTGAAAAGTGGGGTATGTGCTCCTTAAATCTGTTTTTATCCTTGCTGCCTGGCACTGAGTAGATGCTGAAAAATTGTTGGAGGAAACAGACTTGGAGAATTCCTAAATCTGTGGGGACACTGAGAGAGCACTGGGTGGGCTGGCTAGGTCTCTTTACTCCTGCCAAGGGAAGAAGCAGGTGCTGAGGACAACAGGCCCAACGAAAGAAGAGACTCGGAAGAAACCCCAAGGAGAGGGTGAAACAGCAGGAAGTTTGCTCCTGAAACCTCCTCCCACCCAGCACCCCCTCCACACACACACAAGGCCCACCTAACCTTCACACTCTCTGTGAAGCCTGTTCCTCCTTCAAGGGCCAACTCAAGGACCCCCTCCTCAGGAAAATGTCCTGCCCACTTCAAAGAGACCCTCCCACCCAGGTGCCTTGGACACCCCATCAACTCTAAGCAGCAGTCACCCCCTTTCAGGGTAACCAGTCCAGATCAAAAGCCCTCTGGAGAAAATCCCCACTGTCTCAGCTCCCAGCTGGAAGGAGGTGGCCCCATGAACGATTCAGGACAAGAAGGGACACTATCAACAAGAGTTAATTTGGCGAGTTCCTCAGCAGCATGATTTCCCGAGAGTCACCCTTCTCCTCTAAGACTGAGGTCCCTATCTGCAGGCAGTCTCTGGGAGGGAGTCAGGGGGTTTCTGGAAGGGCCTCCCCCATACTAGGTACATAATAATAGTCCCTATTGTCATTATTATTAGTTAGGAAAGAAAGGAGAGGTTACAGGACGGGTGATTAGGACACTGGATGTCAGCTCCCAGAACGCCTTTAGACTTCAGGTGTTTGCCAGGGCCACGCCTCCAAGCCTTCTCCATCTGGGGAATTCAAAATTCACCGTGTTTGGGGTTCTTCCGTCAGACCAACGGAGAGGACGGCCCTTCTCCGAGTGTTCTCTGAGGCCCCTCGACCAAAAAGTCAAGGAGTCAGATCCCACATTCCCAGCGACTGAGGGGACTTCTTTCCCCTGAGGAGTCCCCACAGGTCAAGCCGGCGGCCCCACGAGTCTCTTGCAAAAGCCTTGGGTCCAGTGGGTCACCCAGGGGGGGGCGAGAGATCAGAAAAGAGGTGCCGCGTGGCCGGGAGTGGGAGTTGCGCGCACCTGCCGCAGGTGAGGCCCAGCCATGCGGAAGGGGGAGGAGCTGTCGCGGCAGCACGCAGGTGAACCGACCCTGGGCTCCCAGGAACTAGGCCGAGGGCTGCCACGGGCTCCAACATGACGGCTGCGAGGCGGCCACGTCGCAGACAGCGGCCCCCGTGACTCCAAGTCCCGCGCGGCGCAGCAGCCCCATGAGAACATTCGAGGCAGCGGCGGCGTTGGAGGCCCCGGGTCCGTTCGGTATTTGAATAGCACAAAGGAACCGCCTTGGTCTGATTGGCCAGCTTAGTGGCCCCGGGGCGGGCAGCGTCTGTCACTCGGGAGGTTTGGGGAACTCTGATTGGCTTATCAGGTGTGGGGCGGGGCCCGGACGCCCGGCTAAATAGCTGGGGCCCGGGCCGGCCGAGGCTCATTGCTTTGGCGCCGTCTGGGGAGCACGAGCCCGCGGTGGCGCGCAGCGCATGGTGGCGGCTCCTCTCGGAGCGCAGCCGACCCGCCGACCCGGGCTCCGTTTCCCCTGCCCAGCGCGTCCCGGAGGCCGGCTGGAAGCCGAAACAGCAGCAGCCTTAGCAGCAGCAACGGCCGCGGCTGCTCCGCCGCCGCCGTCTTCAAGGGAGCATGGAGTGCGCCCTGGACGCCCAGAGCCTGATCAGCATCTCCCTGCGCAAGATCCACAGCTCCCGGACCCAGCGCGGCGGCATCAAGCTGCACAAGAACCTCCTGGTGTCCTACGTGCTCCGCAACGCGCGCCAGCTCTACCTGAGCGAGCGCTACGCCGAGCTCTACCGGCGCCAGCAGCAGCAGCAGCAGCAGCAGCAGCCGCCCCACCACCAGCACCAGCACCTCGCGTACGCGGCGCCGGGCATGCCGGCCAGCGCGGCCGACTTCGGCCCTCTGCAACTTGGCGGCGGCGGGGACGCGGAGGCGCGCGAACCGGTCGCCCGTCACCAGCTGCACCAGCTCCACCAGCTCCACCAGCTGCACCTCCAGCAGCAGCTGCACCAGCACCCGGCGCCCAGGGGCTGCGCGGCTGGCCCCCTCGGACTTTGGCGTGCACTGCAGCAGCCAGACCACCGTGCTGGACCTGGACACTCACGTGGTGACCACGGTGGAGAACGGCTACTTGCACCAGGACTGCTGCGCCTCCGCCCACTGCCCCTGCTGTGGCCAGGGCGCCCCGGGACCCGGCCTGGCGTCCGCCACCGGCTGCAAGCGCAAGTATTACCCTGGCCAGGAGGAGGAGGAGGACGACGACGACGACGATGCGGGCGACCTGGGGGCCGAGCCCCCCGGGGGTGTCCCGTTCGCCCCCTGCAAGCGCGCTCGCTTCGAGGACTTCTGTCCGGACTCGTCCCCGGACGCGTCCAACATCTCAAACTTGATCTCCATCTTTGGCTCGGGCTTCTCCGGGCTGGTGAGCCGACAGCCGGACTCCTCCGAGCAGCCGCCGCCACTCAACGGGCAGCTGTGCGCTAAGCAGGCGCTCGCCAGCCTCGGCGCCTGGACTCGAGCCATTGTCGCCTTCTAGGGACCCCCGAGGGCATGGGGACCCGGGGCCCCGCGGGGCTGGGGCCAGACAAAGACTCGGCCAAGGGGCGAGAGGAGGGAACGAACGGGCGCCCGGCCACTTCGGGCTGAGCAGGGGGCGAGCAGAGGGAGAGGGCTGATGTTTTATAAATTGTAAAATAAAAAAAAAAGAAATCTAAGATCTTGGACTTTATTTTTGCAGAGAGAAAAAGCGCCTATTTAAGTATGCTTTGTGTTTCTCCTACTCTTTTTTTTTTTTTTTTTATTGTAGTGATTGCAGTGGTGTTTAGCGAGGAGCCAGCCACGTGAGGAGGGGCTGCTGCCCGGAGGAGGTGCCGGGCAGCCGGGGGGCGAGGCAGGGCGCCGGGACCGACGGGGCGCGCCGGGGGCGCAGCGCAGGAGGGCGCGGGGTCCCGGACGCCGATTCCAATCAGTTGTCAGACCCAGGAAGCCCGGAGCTCTGTTCTCTCGAGTCCCTCCGCGGGGTGAGGAATGGGTCTTGTGAAATCCTGAGCAAAAACAAAGGCAAACTCTATCTCCGAAAGGGAGGTTTGGGTCACATTTCCTCTCTGGGGGCGGCCTCCAAAGTTCTCAAAATGAGAAGGCAGAAATGAAAACACTTCAACTTTTTTTTCTTTTCTTCCCGGGGCGGGTGTCTTGAACCCCTCGTCTCCCCGCCCCTCTGGCTCTGTTATCCTCCCCTCCTCCACCCGTCTTCCAGACTCGGGGGTGGCGCCGGACACCCCGACACTCTCGGACACTGTTTAGGGAAGGGGTGGGGGGCGGGCACGGCCGACTACATTTCCCATCATGCCCAGCACTGCGGTCCCCACTAAACAAAAAAGGAAGTCGATTCCTTCACCTGGATCCCCGGCGGCCCCGAGAGAGGGAGGGGCCGGGACCGCCGACTGCGTTGGAGACTTCACTAAGTTCCTGGTCAGATGTGGTGTTTGTGTGTGTGTGTGTGTGTGTGTGTGTGCTTCTAAGTTGCACTATCCTGGTTCAGCCTTGGATTGCATTTCATGAAACCAGCATTGTTCGAGCCTGTGAGAACCCCGTCCTGTGTCTTCAGCTTGATAGATTTTGTTTAATTTAAAGCCTTTTGTTGTTTAAAAAAAAAAAAAAGGTGGGGTTCGCCTGCAGCCCCTCTGGTTCTCTGCCATCAGCACCATGTGGACTCCAAAACAAGTTGCCAACCCTTCCTTTCTTGGCCCTTCTCCCTCCTTCCCCTGTATTTTTGTGCATTCTGAATTGTGTATCAACCGGGTAAAACTGTTCAGATGATTTGTTTAAATTTATCATCTTAATAAAAAAGTCGACTCTAGAGGATGGCGGTGCCTTGTTTTCAGGTCGGCCTGGAGGTGGCGGGGAGGATAGAGGGAGGTGACACGAGACCCCTACCCTCCTGCAAAGCCCAGCTTTCCTAGCCTGGGAGGGCAGGAGCTGCCCACATCCGCAGGGCCGGGGGTGGGAGAGGGATGGGAGAGTGCTGTTTGCTGGGGAAGAAGCCGGTGCTGCGCGCTTCCCCGGCCCCCCCGCCTCTGCAGAGGTGCCTGCCCCCCACGGGAACCGGTTCTCCCCGCCCCCAGGATCTCCTGCAGGAAGCCGAGCGAGCCACCGTCACATTTCCTAACCCAGCCAGGGGCGCAGAGCCTGCTCGGCCTCAACTCAGAGCTCTCTTGGGCCGGGGAGAGCCGCCGGGGGACATCGGGGGCTGCTGGGCCACCCACAGTCCCCGCCCTGCGCCTCCGCCCGCACGTCCGCACATCTCCGGCTGCAACTTGGGGAAGTTTTTTCCTTTTTTTTTTTTTTTAAGTTGAGTTTGTTATCACTGCTCGGTGCCACTTGGTGGTGTGCTGGCGGCGTCTCCCTCCCTCCTCGCGCCCCTCCCCTCTCCCTCTCCGCGCCCTCCCGCCCGCCTCTCTTCTTCCCTCCCCAGTGGATGGAGGCAGGAAGGCTCCAGGCGCGCTCTGCGCTCTGACCACCTACGGAATGACCTCAGAGTGGGAGAATGTGCCAAGGCCCCGAGGAAGCTCGCGTCCTCCCCACTGGAACCAAATTCACATCTGGAGCCGCGCCTCGGGCCCGGGGGCGCGCGGGGTGGTTCCAGCTTAAGAGGGGATAGGAAAGAAAGACTGAAGGGGAGGGCAAAAAAAGAAAGAAAGAAAGAAAAAGCGAAGAGGCAGCTTGCTCTCGATTTGATAGCCGCCCCCCTCTCTCTCTCTCTCTCTCTCTCTCTCTCTCCCCCTCTCGGTCCCTGGCTGTCTCCCCAGTGCTCTAGCTCGCTTTCTCGCCCCTGCGCTCCCTTTGGCTGCGCAAGCCCCCACCCCCACCCCGCGCAAGACGGCTCACGGCCCCCACCCTAGCCTTCACGCCCCCCGCAGGTAGAGGAAGGGCTGCAGCTGCGAGGACCCCCACCCCCCACCCCAAGCCGCCGAGAGGCGGACGCAAGCCAGTCCCAGGAGTCCGCTGGGCTCTGGGTCCCGGTGACGCGCGAGGCGAAGTTCTCGGGGACACTCCAGAGCCAAGGGGTTTGGGGGGGCGGAGGTGGCCGCGAAGGGCCTACGATGGGGGCGGAGGAAAGAAGGAGGCTACGGAGGCGTGAGTTCCGGGGAGGAAAGGCACCTTCACCCCGCCCCCCCCACCAGGGCTGTTTTTTCGGCCTCCCACGGGAAGAGAAGAGTCTGGAGCTGCTGAGGAGGGGGAACAGTGGGTCGCCCTCCTCCCCGTGCGCCCCCCGCCCACACACCCCCTGCAAGTCCAAGGAATAGCCGTTTGATGCGCGGTTTTGATTCCATCCACCAAGCCAGTTGCCACAGCTCCCCCTAGCGCCTCTTCCAGGGCGCTGCAGAGGCTGCGGCTGGGAGTGGGCGAGGCACAACTCGGGGTGGCGGGGGTGGGGGGGGTGCTGTGGGGGGCTGCTCCGCGTCCACCCGGGGCGCAGCGCGGTCTGGCTCGAACCCTGGCTGGAGCGGAAACCCGGGGGCTGCGTGCGTTCCCCACTCCGGGCCCGCCTCGAGAAAGGGCACGTGGTCGGCCGCCTTTGTTGGGAGGGCGGACCAGGGCACCCGAAGGGACCGGCCGAGCGGCTTGGGACCTCCCACCTCTCCCTTAGGGGCAAAGGAGCGTGGGTGGTGGTCTGCAAAATAAGAGCTCTAAACTGAACGGGACCGCGGACCCGGGTTATCCTCCCCTTTGCTAGGTTTTCTTGAGCTTCAGCTGTGCCCAGAGACCTCAGGCATATTGGGATCCGGGGATCCCCGTGGGCAGGGGGTGGCGGACTCCGGGAGCACCCGGAAGAGAGATGCTCTCCCACTCAATTATCTTTTCAGGGCCGAGGGACCTTGGGCAGCCACGCAAACGGTCAGTCCCCTGAGCACAGCGTGCAGCAACCAATAACACAATCCCCGGGCCGGCCACCTCTCACACTAAGAGGGTCCACGAAATCCCAACACAAGCCGTGCTGATGTTACAGCACACACCACACTGAAGGCCACACCCACCCAAACGCCCCGTCCCCAACACAAGAGCCCCAAGGAGCATCCCACTCCACTCGATGCCATGGCCCCACCCCTGGAGGCTGGCAAGAGCTCAGCCTACTCTCCCAGGACATCCTGAGAAACTAACTTATGCTCCCCAGCAGAGCACAGCTGAAAGGCTGGGAGTGGGGGGTGGGGATGGAGTGCGGGCAGTGTGGTCTTGGGGAAGGAGGAAGAGGGGCAAGCCGGCAGGCAAACCAGGAGTCCACAGACCCAGGTCCACAGACAAGCCCTGCTCCTTCCAGGAAAATGACTCAGACAGAGCCCCTAGGCAAGACTTGGGGTTGGGGGACACTCATTGAGGAGATAGGGAGATTGGAAAAGACTGGGGACTTAGTGGTGAGGCAGAGCTTTCAGAGAAGAGCAGTTCTGGAAGCCAGGGCTCTAGAAAGCTCTCCGCCCCTCCTCCCCCAAGTTAACCAGCGCACGCACACACACACACACACACACACATGCACGCACACACACACAATTCCCCTAGCTCCTAGAACAGTGCAGGTTCTGCTGCCCTTGATACGTGGTGTAGGGCTGAGCCAGGCTCTGAGTTGCGCTCCTAGCAATATGGAGCTGCTGGGATGACAGCTGAGGGCCTGGGAGAGCTGCAGGCTGCCCTCCAGAGAAGCCAGGGGCTGGGGATGCCCTGGGCTCCCAGGAGGGTCACTGTGTGGGATGCTGAGATCTGAGTGTTTCTATTCTGTGTATGTGTGTGTTTGTGTGTGCGGGGGGTGGGTGTCACTCTGGTAACAGGGCATCTCTTTCTGCCTCTCCGTGTGGGGGACAGACATTTGCCCCACTTAGTGCCTAGCCAGGGCAAAGCACTGAGCTGATCACTGCAAAAAAAGAACATCAAAGAAGAGGACAGCAAAGTCCCTCTGTATGAATTCACTGAGGTTTTCCAGCTATTCTCAGAGAAAGATACTATGAGCATCCTTGTTTTAAAAGTGAGAAATCTTGCCCAAAATCACACAACTATGATGTGGCCAGTCTTACTGCTGGAGTTCACAGTCTAGTGGAGAAGAATTTATTACATACCTCAGTGTGAGCTGTCAAATGACCCTGATGTTGTCTAAATAGCAACACTGGTTAGTTCCAGCTGAACCTGAACTAACAGATTGGGTGCACACATCTTCTAACGCTTCATGCTCTGGGTGGAGGGATGGAGAAACACATAGGACACACAGGAGAGACACAGGGTGTCTGTATCCCACCCCACCCAGCGCAGAAACTGACCTCTTCCTGGTATTTGTCAGGACCCTTGTGATAGGGAACAGTGAGCTGACTGGAACCAGCATGGGAAGAAGTGGGATCTCTTGGTTCATGGCACGCAGCTGTACAGTGGGCAGAGATGGAGTGGGCTTCAGGTACAACTGGATCCAGGGACAAACCAAACAAGACTTTCTCCTCTGCACTGGGCGCCCACCCTCCTACTGCTGACCCATTTCTCATGACAGCAGCCCCTGGCTTCCCGTCCCACATCTTCGCCACCCAAGAACGACTATCCTCTTCTCTTGTCAGCCCAGAAGACCTCAGGGAAGGACCCCATCCTGTCCCAAACCTGCAGCAGAGTTGGAGGGTGGGTGGTCGCCCCCACTGAAAGCTCACGGGCAGAGAAGGGGCTCTCTTTTCAGAAAAGGGGTACT